CCCTTGCCACATACTGCAACACCTACGGCATCCAACAGACCTCCACCCTTCCCCACTCCCCTCAGCAGAACGGCATTGCTGAGAGCCGCATTCGTGAGATCACCAAGATAGCTCGCTGTCTCATTGCTCATGCCTCCACCCCTCCTTCCCTCTGGAGCTATGCCCTCCTCCACGCCGCTCTTCTCCTTAATCTCCGCTCCCACCCTCAGCATCCTTCCTCCTCCCCTACAGAGCTTTGGTCCAACGCCAAACCCGACGCTGCCGGCCTTCGCGTTTGGGGCTGCAAGGCCTTCGTTCTCATCCCACCCGCCGACCGCTCCCGCGCCGCTGGCAAGCTTGCTCCTCGCGCCCTGGAATGCGTTTACCTTGGGCACAATCGCGACTCCCCAGGCTACCTCTTCCTCCACCCTCCCACCAATCGCCTCATCCGCAGCGGCGACGTCGTCTTCGACGAATCCGTCCCCTATTACTCCACTCCTCCCCCTGATCCTCTCCCTCCTCCCACTCGTCCCCTTGCTTGGACCGACACCGTCCTCCCGCCCCTTCTCCCTCCAGCCCCTCTCCTCCCACCCGTCGCAGCTCCGCTCCCGCCCTCCTCCTCCGCCGATGTCTACGACCCTGCCGCACCCGCTTCCCCCGCTCACTCGGCCGCACCCCCTCCCCCCCCCTCCCTCCTCCTCTCCCTCTCCCTCCTCCCAGCAGCCGGATCAGCAGCAGCAGCAGCAGCAGCCGCAGCAGCAACAGCAGCAGCAGCAGCAGCCGGGACAGCAGCCGGGGCAGCAGCAGCAGCAGCAGCCGGGCCAGCAGCAGCAGCAGCAGCCGGGCCAGCAGCAGCAGCAGCAGCCGGGCCAGCAGCAGCAGCAGCAGCCGGGCCAGCAGCAGCAGCAGCAGCGGCAGCAGCAGCAGCAGCAGCCTCAGCAGCCTCAGCAGCCGCAGCACCAGCACGGTCAGCCGCAGCCGCAGCAACACGGGCAGCAGCTTCCGCAGCACCAGCAGCAGCAGCGGCGTCGTGCCACTTCCCGTTCTTCCCCCTTCCTCCTCCCTTACATCCATACCCGCTCTGTGGACAAAATCCTTGGGGCTCCTCCTCCTGCCTCCATTCAGCTCCTTGAGGACTCCCATGAGGAGTTTCTTAACATTCGGGAGCACACTCCATTCCTTGCCGCCCTCTACCTTGACTTCCTGGGCTTTCCTGTCCTTGGCGCCACTACTACCCCCACCATCTTCACTCCCTCCACCTTCCAGGAAGCCATCACCTGCCCTGATGCGGATAAATGGATAGCAGCGATCTTCCTGGAGTGTGAGGCTTTCATTCGCAACGACTCCTTCGTCGATGTCCCCCTCCCTGCTGGCGCTAATCTCGTTGACGGCAAATGGGTCTTTCGGGTGAAGCAGCTGCCGGGCGAGGAACCAGTGTACAAGGCCCGCTACTGCGCCAAGGGGTTCACGCAGACTTGGGCTGAGGACTACTGGTTCACCTACGCCCCCACCGCCAAACCACCCACCCTTCGCGCCGCCATGGACATTGGTGCACGTGACGACATGGAAATCGACTCCATGGACGTCTCCAATGCGTTCCTGCAGGGCGACCTGCATGAGCGCATTTTCCTCCGGCGACCCCCCGGGTTCCACGCAGCCTTTCCTGAGAACACTGTCTGGCAGCTGCGTCGCCCCGTCTACGGCTTGAAGCAGGCACCGCGTGAGTGGCATGCGAAGCTGGCTGCCACCTTGGGGTCCCTCGGCTTCTCTGCTTCCCACTCCGACGCCAGCCTCTTCATCCGCTCCTCCCCCCGCCGCTTCTTCATTCTGGTATATGTCGACGACATGATCCTGCTCTCTGACACCAAGGCCGACATGGGGCAGGTGAAGCTGTCCCTGCAGCAGCGGCTCAAGTGCAAAGACCTTGGCGCCCTCACTCACTACCTCGGCATGACCATCACGCGCAACCGCCCTGCTCGCACAATCACCCTCTCCCAGTCCCATTACATCGGCCAGGTCTTGGAGAAGTTCGACATGGCGCAAGCCAAGCCTGTTTCCACCCCGCTCCCCTTCGGTCACCAACTCGCTCCACCCACCTCCCCCACCTCCTCCCCCCACCCCTATGCCGAGCTCGTTGGGTCCTTGATGTACGCAATGATGTGCACCCGCCCCGACCTCGCCTACCCCATCAGCGTGCTCGCTCGCTTTGTCGGCACCGGTCGTCACTCTGAGGAGCACTGGAAAGCTGCCAAGCGGGTCCTCCGCTACCTTCGCGGGACCAGGGACCTTGCCCTCACCCTCGGCGGCCCTTCCCGTCCCCTTCTCTCGGGCTTCAGTGACTCCTCATGGGCTGACACGCAGCCGGACTGCCGCTCCTCCCAGGGCTACGGCTTCACCCTTGGCAGCGGCCTCATCAGCTGGCGCTCCACCCGCTCCTCCGCCATCTCTCTCTCCACCTGCGAAGCCGAGCTCTACGCTGCCACCATGGCCGCCCAGGAGTCGCGCTGGCTCTGCTTCCTTCTTGCGGAGCTTGGCGCCCCCCAGACGTGCCCCACTCTCTGGTGCGACAACGCCAGCACCATCCATCTCACTCAGGACCCCGTCTATCACGCCCGCTCCAAGCACATCGAACTCCGCTACTTCTTCGTTCGCGAGCTCGTCCAGAAGGGCCTCATTGCCGTTCGCAAGATTGCAACCGAGGCCAACTTGGCCGACATCTTCACTAAGGCCCTCCTTCGCCCCGCGCACTCTGCCTTCCTCCGCCTCATTGGCCTTGCTCGCCCGGGCGCCCCTTGATTCAGGGGTTGTTCTCTTCTTGTGTTAGCATGCTAAGGGGTTGTGTTAAAATATATATTGTGTAGCATGGCAACACATGTGACTGTACACAAATTGTGGTGTACAGTTGGGTTGGGACTACACCCAAATTTGGGTGTAGTCTTGCACTTTGGGGTGCCAATCCACCCAATTGTGGTGGAGCCCCCAAATGCAACCCTCTTGACTTGTGGGTACCTCACTTCCCACAATTGAGGTTACCCCAAGCCAAGTGGGCCTAGGGTTGCCTCACTTCTACAAAGTGTGGGCAACCCAACCCACTTGACCTATGGTTCCCTCACTTCCCCAAGTGAGGTCAACCCAACCTATGGTCACTTTCATCCTTCCCTTCCAACCTTCCCTTCCAACTATGTATGCTAGGTTGTTCCTCTAATCTAATGACTTGTTCAATTCACAATCTTCACACGATGCACTGCTATGCGACACCAAAGGCGTACCTGAGAAGCCATTTGAGCTGGTGCGGGTCACTGGAGCAGCCATACTCAGAGGTCCACGCATGGCCGATGGTGAACTCATGAAGGGAACTTGGTGACAGAGGCACGAGTGGAATACGATGCACTGCTATGCGACACCAAAGGCGTACCTGAGAAGCCATTTGAGCTGGTGCGGGTCACTGGAGCAGCCATACTCAGAGGTCCACGCATGGCCGATGGTGAACTCATGAAGGGAACTTGGTGACAGAGGCACGAGTGGAATACGATGCACTGCTATGCGACACCAAAGGCGTACCTGAGAAGCCATTTGAGCTGGTGCGGGTCACTGGAGCAGCCATACTCAGAGGTCCACGCATGGCCGATGGTGAACTCATGAAGGGAACTTGGTGACAGAGGCACGAGTGGAATACGATGCACTGCTATGCGACACCAAAGGCGTACCTGAGAAGCCATTTGAGCTGGTGCGGGTCACTGGAGCAGCCATACTCAGAGGTCCACGCATGGCCGATGGTGAACTCATGAAGGGAACTTGGTGACAGAGGCACGAGTGGAATACGATGCACTGCTATGCGACACCAAAGGCGTACCTGAGAAGCCATTTGAGCTGGTGCGGGTCACTGGAGCAGCCATACTCAGAGGTCCACGCATGGCCGATGGTGAACTCATGAAGGGAACTTGGTGACAGAGGCACGAGTGGAATACGATGCACTGCTATGCGACACCAAAGGCGTACCTGAGAAGCCATTTGAGCTGGTGCGGGTCACTGGAGCAGCCATACTCAGAGGTCCACGCATGGCCGATGGTGAACTCATGAAGGGAACTTGGTGACAGAGGCACGAGTGGAATACGATGCACTGCTATGCGACACCAAAGGCGTACCTGAGAAGCCATTTGAGCTGGTGCGGGTCACTGGAGCAGCCATACTCAGAGGTCCACGCATGGCCGATGGTGAACTCATGAAGGGAACTTGGTGACAGAGGCACGAGTGGAATACGATGCACTGCTATGCGACACCAAAGGCGTACCTGAGAAGCCATTTGAGCTGGTGCGGGTCACTGGAGCAGCCATACTCAGAGGTCCACGCATGGCCGATGGTGAACTCATGAAGGGAACTTGGTGACAGAGGCACGAGTGGAATACGATGCACTGCTATGCGACACCAAAGGCGTACCTGAGAAGCCATTTGAGCTGGTGCGGGTCACTGGAGCAGCCATACTCAGAGGTCCACGCATGGCCGATGGTGAACTCATGAAGGGAACTTGGTGACAGAGGCACGAGTGGAATACGATGCACTGCTATGCGACACCAAAGGCGTACCTGAGAAGCCATTTGAGCTGGTGCGGGTCACTGGAGCAGCCATACTCAGAGGTCCACGCATGGCCGATGGTGAACTCATGAAGGGAACTTGGTGACAGAGGCACGAGTGGAATACGATGCACTGCTATGCGACACCAAAGGCGTACCTGAGAAGCCATTTGAGCTGGTGCGGGTCACTGGAGCAGCCATACTCAGAGGTCCACGCATGGCCGATGGTGAACTCATGAAGGGAACTTGGTGACAGAGGCACGAGTGGAATACGATGCACTGCTATGCGACACCAAAGGCGTACCTGAGAAGCCATTTGAGCTGGTGCGGGTCACTGGAGCAGCCATACTCAGAGGTCCACGCATGGCCGATGGTGAACTCATGAAGGGAACTTGGTGACAGAGGCACGAGTGGAATACGATGCACTGCTATGCGACACCAAAGGCGTACCTGAGAAGCCATTTGAGCTGGTGCGGGTCACTGGAGCAGCCATACTCAGAGGTCCACGCATGGCCGATGGTGAAGTGGTGGAGTCGCAGCATGTCTGTCAGCCCCACGTGTGCCAATGCACATGCGAACAGGTCTGGACGCTGATGGGTGGAACACAGGAGAAGGGAGAAGGGGGAAGGGAGAAGGGAGAATGGAGAAGGGAGAAGGGAGAATGGAGAAGGGAGAATGGAGTAGGAGAGGGAAATTGGAAAAGTTAGATGGGTGAAGGGAGAAGAGGACAAGGGGAAGGGAGAAGAGGACAAGGGGAAGGGAGAAGAGGACAAGGGGAAGGGAGAAGAGGACAAGGGGAAGGGAGAAGAGGACAAGGGGAAGGGAGAAGAGGACAAGGGGAAGGGAGAAGAGAGAAGGGAGGACGGCATCAGTAGCCCCTGTTTCCAACTTGTGAGCGACGCATGCATGGGTGCAGCCTCATACCATCACGTTGCATGGGTGCAGCCTCATACCATCACGTTGCATGGGTGCAGCCTCATACCATCACGTTGCATGGGTGCAGCCTCATACCATCACGTTGCATGGGTGCAGCCTCATACCATCACGTTGCATGGTATACCGACTCTTCGATCGACATGCATGCACATACCGACATACACACACACACCAACACAGCCGCACACACCAACTTTTGAGACGTCTCTTGAGACGACTTTTGAGACGTCTCTTGAGACGACTTTTGAGACGTCTCAAAAGCCGACACACCCACACATACCAACACACCCACACATACCAACACACCCACACATACCAACACACCCACACACACCAACACACCCACACATACCAATACACCCACACACACCAACACACCCACACACACCAACACACCCACACACCCACACACACCAACGTACCGACACATACCAACCCACCTACACATACCACCATACCCACAACACACATACCAACACACCCACACACACCAACACGCCCACACATACCAACACATCCACACATACCAACACACCCACACATACCAACACACCCACACATACCAACACACCCACACACACCAACACACCCACACACCCACACACACCAACGTACCGACACATACCAACCCACCTACACATACCACCATACCCACAACACACATACCAACACACCCACACACACCAACACGCCCACACATACCAACACACCCACACATACCAACACACCCACACATACCAACACACCCACACATACCAACACGCCCACACATACCAACACACCCACACATACCAACACACCCACACATACCAGCACACCCACACACCCACACACACCAACGTACCGACACATGCCAACCCACCTACACATACCAACATACCCACACCACACATACCAACACACCCACACATACCAACACACCCACACATACCAACACACCCACACATACCAACCCACCCACACATACCAACCCACCCACACACAGCTAAGACTTCTGGAAAACTGCCTGCAAAGCGCCCACCTGGTTATGCATGCAGCATTCGAGACTTGTAAAGAACCGCCTACCCCGCTGGGCACAAGCATGCGTACCTGGTTGGGCACAAGCATGCGTACCTGGTTGGGCACAAGCATGCGTACCTGGTTGGGCACAAGCATGCGTACCTGGTTGGGCACAAGCATGCGTACCTGGTTGGGCACAAGCATGCGTACCTGGTTGGGCACAAGCATGCGTACCTGGTTGGGCACAAGCATGCGTACCTGGTTGGGCACAAGCATGCGTACCTGGTTGGGCACAAGCATGCGTACCTGGTTGGGCACAAGCATGCGTACCTGGTTGGGCACAAGCATGCGTACCTGGTTGGGCACAAGCATGCGTACCTGGTTGGGCACAAGCATGCGTACCTGGTTGGGCACAAGCATGCGTACCTGGTTGGGCACAAGCATGCGTACCTGGTTGGGCACAAGCATGCGTACCTGGTTGGGCACAAGCATGCGTACGTGGTTGGGCACAAGCATGCGTACCTGGTTGGGCACAAGCATGCGTACCTGGTTGGGCACAAGCATGCGTACCTGGTTGGGCACAAGCATGCGTACCTGGTTGGGCACAAGCATGCGTACGTGGTTGGGCACAAGCATGCGTACCTGGTTGGGCACAAGCATGCGTACGTGGTTGGGCACAAGCATGCGTACGTGGTTGGGCACAAGCATGCGTACGTGGTTGGGCACAAGCATGCGTACGTGGTTGGGCACAAGCATGCGTACGTGGTTGGGCACAAGCATGCGTACCTGGTTGGGCACAAGCATGCGTACCTGGTTGGGCACAAGCATGCGTACCTGGTTGGGCACAAGCATGCGTACCTGGTTGGGCACAAGCATGCGTACGTGGTTGGGCACAAGCATGCGTACCTGGTTGGGCACAAGCATGCGTACCTGGTTGGGCACAAGCATGCGTACCTGGTTGGGCACAAGCATGCCCACCTGGTTGACGGCGGCACTGACGAGCAACCCCCCGTTGCTGCCACCCTCTATCACCAGCTTCACCAGCCCCCCTCGCTTATCCTTATCATAAAGCTTGGGAGTTGGGAGCTTGGGAGGTATTTGCTGAGTCGAATTTCTGCCACCCTCTATCACCAGGTTCAACGGCGATGTATATCCCGTCAGAGTGTTGCCGCTCTGCATCATCACCTTGTATGGCGCATGGTATGCTTGCCACAGATGCACATACTCTCAAACACATACACTCCCGTTATAAGCACACCCACCTGGTTGACAGCAGCACTGACGAGCAACCCCCCGTTGCTGCCACCCTCTATCACCAGCTTCGACGGCGATGTGTACCCCTCACGTATCAGATGCTCCGCGCAGCTCTGATGAAGGGGGCAAAAGGAATGGGGCGAATTTGAGGCACCACACAAATAGATTTGCCTATTGGGTGTATCTGATAGAAGAGATGGAGCACTGATAGAAGAGATGGAGCACTGATTATGTACGAAGTAGTGTTTTGAGACGTCTCAAAACACTACCTCCTACACATGGCTTTGAGGCATCACACAAGTAGATTCGCCTACCAGGTGCATCTGATAGACGAGATGGAGCACTGAAGCACTGATTTCGTTCTGATCCACCAGAAGCACAAATCAGATGCAGCTCTGGAGGACCTAGGATAAAGAGATGGAGCACTGATATTGTTGACATTGTTAGAGGAGGTCGAAAGGGAACATGGTGCGGAATGGTGGATTTGAAATGCCTTGAGCTTACTGCACCTTAGCAGAGAATGAAGCAGCATGAAATGAAGACCCACTCACTGACATGGAAGTCGTCAAAGGTCCCACCCACACCAAGGTCCCACCCACACCAAGGTCCCACCCACACCAAGGTCCCACCCACACCAAGGTCCCACCCACACCAAGGTCCCACCCACACCAAGGTCCCCCACACAATGAAGTCCCACTCACATAGAAATCGTCAAAGCACTGCTGCTTGTGGGCCAGCGCGCCTTCCTTGTGCCACCTCTCCCCGTACTCCCCCACTCCGCGGATATTCGCCACTGCCACCACGGCTCCGTGGTGCCTCATCAGCAGCACCCGGGCCACACTGAAGGACGGCTTGATGCAGATGTTGAAGCCTCCGTAGCCGTACAGGAGAGTGAAGTGGTCTGATGTGTGGGGGAGGTCTTTACGACACACCACAAACATGGGGATCCTGGGGGAAAGTGGGGCAACAGCAGAAGCATGGGAGATACGCTGAAGGACGGCTTGATGCAGATGTTGAAGCCTCCGTAGCCGTACAGGAGAGAGTGAAGTGGTCTGATGTGCGGGGCAGGCCTTTACAGCACACCACAAACATGGGGATTTTGTGGGAAAACAGGGGGCAGCAGGTGCATGGGTGTCATGCGGAAGCACGATGAACCTCAAAACGAGCGCATAAACATCTTATCTGAGTAAATCGGCAAGTTGGTTATTGAGAATTCTCATGAACCAAGCCGCCATGAACATCTGATCTGAGTAAAAATCGGCAACCTGAGTCTCGGGCGATACAGTCATCCTATTTGGTGATGCACCCATGCCACCTACCTGGCAGGCGGTCGTACCGAGAGCATACCTACCTGGCAGGCAGTCGTACCGAGAGCATACCTACCTGGCAGGCAGTCGTACCGAGAGCATACCTACCTGGCAGGCAGTCGTACCGAGAGCATACCTACCTGGCAGGCAGTCGTACCGAGAGCATACCTACCTGGCAGGCAGTCGTACCGAGAGCATACCTACCTGGCAGGCAGTCGTACCGAGAGCATACCTACCTGGCAGGCAGTCGTACCGAGAGCATACCTGGTGCCATCGGTGCTGGGCACAAACACTTGCTGCGCCTCAAACAGAGAGGGGTCGAAGCCTGGAACGGTCAGCTGCCGGTGCACCTGGTGACAACACAGGTACACGAACACAAGACGTACATGCATGTGCCACCTACCTGAGGCGTGTTTTGAGTCGACTCAAAACAGAGGTACACGAACACAACACATACATGCATGTGCTGAGGCGTGTTTTGAGTCGACTCAAAACAGAGGTACACGAACACAAGACGTACATGCATGTGCTGAGGCGTGTTTTGAGTCGACTCAAAACAGAGGTACACGAACACAACACATACATGCATGTGCTGAGGCGTGTTTTGAGTCGACTCAAAACAGAGGTACACGAACACAACACATACATGCATGTGCTGAGGCGTGTTTTGAGTCGACTCAAAACAGAGGTACACGAACACAACACATACATGCATGTGCTGAGGCAACCAGTAAACTGGCGATGCCCCCGGTGAGGTGAGGTGACAGCAGAGGTACACGGACACAAGACATACATGAACCATGCGTGCGCTCAGGCAAACATTCAGCTGGTGATCAACCCGCCAAATGCCAGCCGTGGATGTGCGAGAGTGAGGCATCCTAACGCAGCTAGTAGGAGCTTTGAGACATCTCAAACCGTGAGTGAGGCATCCGAGGTGACTTTTGAGTCGACTCAAAAGTCACCTCGTTACCATGGCACACGTCTCAAAACGTGAGTGAGGCATCCAAGCACAGCTAGTAGGAGTCAACACACATGCCATGTCACACACACATGCCATGTCACACGCACATGCCATGTCACACACACATGCCATGTCACACACACATGCCATGTCACACACACATGCCATGTCACACACACATGCCATGTCACACACACATGCCATGTCACACACACATGCCATGTCACACACACATGCCATGTCACACGCACATGCCATGTCACACACACATGCCATGTCACACACACATGCCATGTCACACACACACCCAGGAGAGCACGCACAACTTGTGCGTGAGTTGAGTTCATCGCACATGCAGAACACACCCCTGGCTGCCTGGCTGGCTGGCTGGATGGCTGGCGGCTGGCTGGCTGGCTGGATGGCTGGCGGCTGGCTGGCTGGCTGGATGGCTGGCTGGCTGGCTGGCTGGCTGGCTGGCTGGCTGGCTGGCTGGCTGGCTGGCTGGCTTGCTGGCTGGCTGGCTGGCTGGCTGGCTGGCTGGCTGGCTGGCTGGCTGGCTGGCTGGCTGGTTGGCTGACTGGCTGGCTGGCTGGGCAGAGGAGCAGCGAGGTCGCGGTGGTACACACATGGTGATGTGGGATGTCTCATCTTAAAACATGGTGCGACGGCCGAGGAATCAACGCAGACAGAAGCCTCGCCCCCTTTTCATGCATCGCGCACCACAATGGAGCAAGGGAGACGGAAGACGCTTGCATGCCTCGCACATCATCCGGGTGAGGCTCGGTGAGGTCGCAGCGGGACACGGTGGCGGGGGGAACGGAAGAAGGAAGGAGAGCTTAGCCCTCTTCCCGTCAATCACATACCAGTGCAAGCACACACATCCGGTTCCGCCGGGTGAGGCTCGGTGAGGTCGCACCGGGACACGGTGGCCGGGGGAACGGAAGAAGGAAGGAGAGCTTAGCCCTCTTCCCGTCAATCACATACCAGTGCAAGCACACACATCAGGTTCCGCCAGGTGAGGTTCGGTGAGGTCGCAGCGGGACACGTTGGCAGGGGAGCGGAAGCTCACAAGGGAGAAGCGCGCATCGCCTCGTTCCAGAAATTACACACCAGTGCAAGCACGCACCTCTGGCTCAGGGTGAGGGGTGGACGTTTGAGGCGCCTCAAAAGTCGTTCCAGAAATTACACACCAGTACAAGCACGCACCTCTGGTTCAGGGTGAGGGGTGGTGAGGTCACAGCGGTACACGGCGTGGGGGCAGAGGAAGCTCTCAAAGCCGTTGGCGGCCTTACAGCCTTAGCTACGGTGATGGGACTTTTGAGAATTCTCAGAAGTGCCTTACAGCCTTAGCTCTTTCTAGACACAACACATCAGTGCAAGTGCAAGCACGCACCTCTGGTTCGGGGTGAGGGCTGGTGAGGTCGCAGCGGTACACAGTGCGGGGGGGGAGGAAGCTCTTAAAGCTGTTGGTGGACTTATAGCCTTAGCTCTTTCCAGGCACAACAGATAAGTGCAGGTGCCAGCACACACCTCCGGGTTCGGGTTGAGGGGTGGTGAGGTCGCAGCGGTACACGGTGCGGGGGGGAAGAGGAAGTAAGTAAGGAGATAAGTTGAGTTTTGAGACGTCTCAAAACTCAATCTTATCAAGTGGCTTAGCTTGACCCTCTTTCCGTCAATCACACACCAGTACAAGCACGCACCTTTGGTTCAGGTTGAGGGTTGGTGAGGCTGCAGCGGTACACAATGATGGGGGAGAGGAAGCTTTCAGCAAGATGGTGGAAGCCTCACAGGTCTTTCCATGCAGGTCTTTCCATGCAACACGCATCAAGTCAAGCACGCACCTCTGGTTCAGGTTGAGGGTTGGTGAGGCGACAGCAGGTTGACTTTTGAGTCAACTCAAGAATCAGCAAGACGTTGGTAGGCTTACAGGTCTTTCCACGCAACACGCATCAAGACAAGACAAGCACGCACATCTGGTTCAGCGTGAGGGGTGGTGAGGTCGCAGCGGTACACAGCGCATGGGGTGGGGAGAGAGGAAGCTCTCAAAGGAGGTCGAGAGCACTGTGCCATTCCATGCATTCCATGCATTCCATGCAGCAGAAACCAAGGCAAGCACGCGCGCACCTCGGGTTCAGGTTGAGGGGTGGTGAGGTCGCAGCGGAAAATGGTGCGGGGGGAGAGAAAGCTCTCGAAGGAAAAGAAAGCCTCGCTGTCGCTGCGACGACCCGAGGAGGAGACAGCGCCCATCGGGAGCGGCACTGTGGAGAGCAGCAAGCCATCGGTAAGGGAGCGGATCTGCGAGGGAGACAGGGAGAAAGGGTGAAACTGGCTTAAAACGCCTCCTGCTAACCGGAGAGGAGGAGATGGGGCCCATGGGGAGGGGCACCTTGGAGAGGAGGAGGAGACAGCGCCCATCGGGAGCGGCACTGTGGAGAGCGGCAAGCCATCGGTAAGGGAGCGGATCTGCGAGGGAGACAGGGAGAAAAGGGTGAAGCTGGCTTATAAATCCCCCTGCTACCCGAGGAGGAGGAGACAGCGCTCATGGGGAGGGGCACTGTGGAGAGCAGAGAGCTGCCAGTGAGGGAGCGAATTTGGAATGGGGAGAGAACGAGGCAAGACACGCATTATTCTTTTGAGGCGCCTCAAGAGAACGAGGCAAGAAACACATTATTCTTTTGAGGCGCCTCAAGAGAACGAGGCAAGAAACACATTATTCTTTTGAGGCGCCTCAAGAGAACGAGGCAAGAAACACATTATTCTTTTGAGGCGCCTCAAGAGAACGAGGCAAGTAACACATTATTCTTTTGAGGCGCCTCAAGAGAACGAGGCAAGAAACACATTATTCTTTTGAGGCGCCTCAAGAGAACGAGGCAAGAAACACATTATTCTTTTGAGGCGCCTCAAGAGAACGAGGCAAGTAACACATTATTCTTTTGAGGCGCCTCAAGAGAACGAGGCAAGAAACACATTATTCTTTTGAGGCGCCTCAAGAGAACGAGGCAAGAAACACATTATTCTTTTGAGGCGCCTCAAGAGAACGAGGCAAGAAACACATTATTCTTTTGAGGCGCCTCAAGAGAACGAGGCAAGAAACACATTATTCTTTTGAGGCGCCTCAAGAGAACGAGGCAAGAAACACATTATTCTTTTGAGGCGCCTCAAGAGAACGAGGCAAGTAACACATTATTCTTTTGAGGCGCCTCAAGAGAACGAGGCAAGAAACACATTATTCTTTTGAGGCGCCTCAAGAGAACGAGGCAAGAAACACATTATTCAGGCAGACAACAAGGAAGAGAGTGCATTCATGGGGAGCAGCAAAGGCGAGGAGGGAGCTTTTGGTGAGGGGAAAGGGACCCTTAAATTTGGAATGGAGAGATGCACGTATACCTGGAGCTTCTTGTGTTGTGTCCCTACGTTTGCCCCTCATAAAAAGACGCCTACATACCTGGAGCACGTTTATCACATGGCGCATGTTGCCCCCCCGCAGCAGCATGCATGCATGCAGTGGCTAATGTTCTAGACGCATCAAGGATTGTCTCAGCGCACGACTGCATACCTGGAGCACGACTGCATACCTGGAGCACGACTGCATACCTGGAACACGACTGCATACCTGGAACACGACTGCATACCTGGAACACGACTGCATACCTGGAGCACGACTGCATACCTGGAGCATGACTGCATACCTGGAACACGACTGCATACCTGGAGCACGACTGCATACCTGGAGCACGACTGCATACCTCGAGCACGACTGCATACCTGGAACACGACTGCATACCTGGAGCACGACTGCATACCTGGAGCACGACTGCATACCTCGAGCATGACTGCATACCTGGAACACGACTGCATACCTCGAGCATGACTGCATACCTGGAGCACGACTGCATACCTCGAGCACGACTGCATACCTGGAGCACGACTGCATACCTGGAGCACGACTGCATACCTCGAGCACGACTGCATACCTCGAGCACGACTGCATACCTCTAGCACGTTCTTTATGTCGCGCATGTAGCAGAGCAGCAGCATGTCCTGGTTCACACACCGGATCCACTCCAACACATCCCCCTCCGCCTCCCCTACCGCCACTGCCATTGCCTTGCCATCCCGTCCCAGTACATACCTCGAGCACGTTCTTAACATCGCGCATGTAGCACAGCAACCACATGTCCTGGTCAAGATGCTTCTAGATGCCTCAAACATTGTCCCAGTGCGTAGATGCATACCTCTAGCACGTTTTTCACGTCGCGCATGTAGCAGAGCAGCAGCATGTCCTGGTTCACACACCGGATCCACTCCAACACATCCCCCTCCGCCTCCCCTATCACCTCCTCCCACCTCCCATCCTCTTCCTCCCCCTTCTCCCCCTCCTTCCTCTTCTGCCTGCCCTCTGCACCCCCCAATTCATCCTCCCCTTCCTCGTGCCCACCGTCCGACCCAGTACCCTCTGACAGAATAATCCGCACCACCTTGCCACGTGGCGCGTCCTTATTGGTGTGGAAGGTGAACGCCGGGCCGTCATTTGTCACGTAGCTGAACATGCCGTCAAAGAGGCGTCTAAGGGCGATGGCAGGCAGGCGCACAGAACCACCATCACCATCCCCACCATCCCCACCACTGCCACCATCCCCACCATCCTCATCATCCCTATCATCTCTTTTAAAGACTACAGTCTCTTCATTCTCATTGCTTGCATCCTTCTCAACGCTCTCATCTTCCTTATCCTTCCTATTGTTCCCATCAGATGCAGAGGCAGCGTGCACTGGAGAGCCATCCAGGCGTCCAAGTGGCAGCTGCTGGAGGTTGATGACGTGGACAAGATTGTCGTGGTCGCAGTTCGCCCACGTGCTTATAATGAGGTACTGTCAGGTGGGGAACGGGAAGGGTGGAGGACAGGCGAGACGTAGTGGAGAGGAAAATGGGAAGCTATATGGGGATGGATGGAAAGAACACTGGAGGAGCGAAGCTGCATGCAGGAGCAGATGGGTTTTGAGGAAAGAGGTGGAGGAGGGAATTGGTGTGTATTTAGAGGAAAGCTGAACGAGTGGAGCGCGCACAGTTCAAGAAGCAACCCCTTGCCCCCTCACCACTATGAGCAAACTAGAATCGACAAATGAAAGAAGTGGCTGACAAAACGAAGCCTGGGTTGAGCTGTCAACACATCACTCAACACATCAGTCAACACATCGGTCAACACATCAGTCAACACATCGGTCAACACATCAGTCAACACATCGGTCAACACATCAGTCAACACATCAGTCAACACATCACAGGCACAGAGGGCTTGAAGGCATGTGAGGGAGAGGGAGAGTGAGAGGCTGAGAGTGAGAGAGAAAAGGAGAGCACATGCCTGACCGTCGTCGCTGACTTCTGAGCCAAACATCCACGTGGGATGGGCCTTGCTCTCCCAGCACAGCGCATCGTCAGCCTGCGCCTGCCCCAGCACGTGGTAGTACACCCGCTGATTCACCACCCTCGCCGTCCCTGCTGCCGCCCCCTCCGCATCCACTCCTGTCGCCGGAGTCAAGGCAGAGAGGGGAAGACACGGGGGATGAACGAAAGAGGGTGGCATCAGATGGGGATCTTTCAGTGTTCTCGAGATTTGAAGGCAGGGAAGAGAGATAGTGAGGTTGAGAGGAAGGCTGGTTCTACGCAGCCGTAAGTGTGCCGCTTCCAAGTGAAGTGGCGCAATAGAACTCGTGGGAGATCAGAATCAACCCTCGTTACACTGTATTGATGAAAGTGAGCATAACCCTCGTTACCGTCGTATCGGTTGTAGAAGAAGCCCCTGTTGTCGTGCGTCCACGCAATAGACGTGTAATTCACGTTCTTGAGCTCGTCCGGCTCGTTATCCTTAGTCCCCACGCGCAGCACCTTAATGGCGTTCCAATCGCTGCCGCTCTGGCTCACAGCGTACGCCAGGTACTCGCCATCCTCGCTAAAAGAGTACGTGCCAAGAGATACAGTCCCATCGTCACTCCACGTGTTCGGATCCAGCAGAACCTCGGCTTCGTCTTCCAGCGATTTCTGCTCGGAAAAATGAAAATGATGAAGACAACAATGCAGGATCGAAACTGGCACTTTTACGAAAACGTTGTACCGTGCCGATATGACGTTCATAACTACTGGCGTATAGCTGATAACGAACCTGCACGTAGAGAACACTATGTGCTTGGAGCCCAGTATTGTGAAAGTAGAAGTAGTTGCTGCCGTACTTGAACGGACAACCATACTCAGGAGAATCCAACAGATCCGTCAGTCGCTCCTTCAGCTTCTCCCTACCCTTTATCCCCGATAGAATCTCAATCGTTAGTGCATTTTGCGCTGTGACGAAATCACGAGTTTCCTGGCTATCGGGGTCTTCCATCCAACGGTACGGATCGTGAATCTTCGTCCCGTGATAATCGTCGACAACAGATTCATCGCGACGAGCCTTAGGGTAGTTGATCGCGGTGGAAGCCATGAACCTGCGAATGTGTGAGCTACGCGCAGGCGTAAGTGAACTAGGCTTTGGTAAGCTTTGCTGGGACGCCTTTTTGAGCCCGAATCGAATGCCTGCTGATGATGAGACCAACTTCAAGGCCATAGAAAGTTGCCTTGCCGCGCCCAAAGCACTGCACAAGTCTGTCTTTCAGCAAGAGTGCTTGGATGTTGACGAGAAGTGAGAGGGTGAAACGCCCCATTATTCCCAGATGAACCCATTCAACGTGGAATATTTTGCGAGAATGTGTGTGCACCCAGAGGAAAAACCTGCTCAAAAGTTGTTACTAAGAAAACTGTATTGAATTCGTCTCAAAACCTTTGTGTTTTTGCTATCTCGTGCCGGACATTTATTGTCTTCCTGTAATGTTTCACATGCATTTTCCTCAGTCATGTACCTGTCACATACGTTCATGAACGCTGAATTTTCTTTTCGCCAAACCGAAGCATTTCCAGAGAGAGTTTTCGAAATGTGGTGTCAGACTTCCCGCCAAACTTATCTGCCAATCAGGTGTAATCCTTTTCCTTCCTTACACTTCCCGCCCACATTCGAAGCCACTCCCTCGAAATCTCCTTTTTGGTGGTCGTCACTCGCTCCAGTTCTTCCCAAATCGTTTCTCTGAAGTTGATACTGAATGCATTAGGTAGCTAGTTGAAGCCTATCTCACTGTTTGCCCGTTTTCGATTCATGCAGTAACGATCCTGTTATCGTGAAGCAGTTACATGTGTCTGCGTGACGAACTCCGTTAGAGTGCCTGCGAGACCGTGATTGCGATTCATATGGAAGAAGAACCTTCGTGTCCAGAGCTGTTTGAGTAGCTATCAGGCGATTTTTTTTACCCTGTCGTTCCGTTTCAAATCGATTAAAGTAGGAAATGGTCAGAACCAAGCCTCCACGGTTGAGTGCGCTAAGCATGGGTTCGCCAAAAGTTTCCGAGTCCACAGCAATTCTTCCATCACCGTGCGTTCCCGGCGACCGAGAAGAGTCTTACCGTGCGGATGTCACAAATGTCGACTCCACTTCCAATTCCGGCGACCCCAAAGTGTCAATCTGGCAGTCGTCGCAATCCCTTGACCTCAGCGATCGTCCATTGAAGGTCTACAACCGCCGTCCCTTGGCGTCCAGACGAGCTCAGTCAAGACGGCCACGAGGACCCATAACTCCTCGGTACTGTAGCATCTATGCCGCCAGCAATTCCATGATGGAGTAACATCTCACCAGCTGATGACTTTTTTGTTCTGTAGTGAAACTTCGTCGTATGCAAGGTTTTTCTAGCTCATTTACTGGATAACCTGTGTAGCCATCCCCGCACAGACGTCTCATGCCTCAGATGACGCATCGCCTTTCGCTCATCGTTACCTCAGGTCCCATTTTCCTGTCGCCGACTCTTTTTAACAGGATGAGGAATGACCAACAGCAGACGCCCACCCGATTCACCGCTTGAACGCGCGTTTCCCTTCCTCTGCTTTATGTATGCTTCTTCTGCCTTCCATTCCGTTGTATTCTTTCGCCTGTGATCTTCACCAGATCGCCCGCCACTTCAGAATCCAATAGCATCAGTCAGGCATGCGACTCGGTTCTGCGCGGTGGGAGGAGGCGCGTGTCCGCCTTCGGATCCTCCCTCTCCTGCAGGTGAACTTTAGTAGTCGACGAAATGCTCTTGTTACTCCGCTTGTGTGTCAAAGCTTGTCACTCTTGTTGGGTTAATACTAGAGCTCGGCTCAGAAGCCTGTACTAGAAAAGCCTTCGGTTCCACTCTCCAGGTAATCTCCCGAACCAATCACTTCACTTCACAGAGTATAATCGACAGACGTGGCGCTTATTGCATGGAATACAGAGGCTGATATGGAGAGAGATAGCAATGACCGCTAATCCATGCAGTTGCAACCAGCCATCCAAACCACTCAGGAATGCTTGCGTAGACTTAGATATTAAGCATCAGAGCATGCAGGGGATTGTGGAAGCATGCACGATACATTTCTAACTGTCAGTGTGGTCGTGCAGCATGGTGTTCTGAGCACATTCCACTTGATGCACTGCCCTGCTGTATTATCCCAGACCGAAACATGCAAACGGTAACGCGGTGCGTGCGAGCTAGCTAGTGCTATGCTGGCAGCGAGGCTCGGGCTAGTCCCGAAGCGTAGGCCGACACGGCCGGGCCAGCAGTGCGAGGTTTGGCAAAACAGTGCGCGTGAAGTTGGCGAAGCCCCGTTAGCAGTAACAGGAGAACAACGGCTGTTGCTGTACGCGATGTAGTCGGGCTCCGTAAGGAATGCCGAGAAAATTCCTTACAGCAGGATAATCTGTTCTGGGGCTGGCACCTCTTACCGTGACTCTTATGTGTGGCCTCTCCCAACCCATCATCAACCCATCCCCGCCTCCACTGCTCCGTCTTCCCCCTTCCGTCCACCGCGCTCCACTCAGGGCCCGGCGATACAGCTTTCTGTCAGCGTCGCCCTCCACAGTTGGCGCAACACCGCCTGCAACACAGGTACCTTGTCTCTGTTCTCCCCCGTTCCTCCTCTGTTGCTTGCTCCTTCGCTGCTCCCCTGATGCTCTCCTTGGTGCTCCTCCCGTGTCCCCTTTGATTCTCCTCTCCTCTGTAGCCATCCAAGCACACAACAAGGCGTCTCCCTCTCCTTGCTCCGATAAACATCTGCTCCTTCCTTTGAATTTCCCCCTTTTCCTGGTTGTTTTCAGAGTGGAGCAGGCGGAGCATCGTCGGGGCGGCAGAAGAAGCCGAGCGGCAAAGCAGCAGCACAGCAGGGTCGGTCGGCGTGCAGAGGAGTACCAGGAAAGAGGCGATACCTTGATGCATCCAAACCCTGCCCTTTCTTCGCCCTTCCTTTCTTCCCTGTCTCTTCAGAGTGGAGTGAAGCAGAAAGCAGGAGCGGGCAGAGCAGCGTCAGGGCGGCAGAAGAAGCTCAACAGCAAAGCTGCAGCCATGCAGGGTCAACGGACAGAGGAGTACCGGAAACTGCGCGCATTCTTTCAGGAAGTAGACGAGTTTGAGATGGAGGAGGAGGAGGAGGAGGAGGAGGAGGTGGAGGAGGCGCGGGAGCGGGCGAACAAGTGGGTGGATAAGGGGAGGGCGAGGGACGAGGGAGTGGAGAGTGTGCTGGATGCGTTTCAGGGGTGGTGCTGGTATGTTCCGCCTTCAGGGGATGGTGGTGGGCAAGAGGATGGGGGAGGGGGTGGGGGAAGGGATGGTGGAGGAGATGGGGGAGGGGATGGGGAAAGGGATGGGGGAGGAGATAGGGGAGGGGGTGTGGGAGTGGGGAGTGACTGGGTGCCGGAGTTTATGGCTAGGGAAGCTGGGCTGTTGGGTGCACTGCGTAGGGTGGATGAGGGAGGGGCGGAAGGGGAGGAGGAGGAGAACGAGGAGGACGAGGAGGAAGAGGAGGAAGAGGAGGAAGAGGAGGAAGAGGGAAGAGGATATTTTGAGGAGAAGGCAGGAAAAATGCAACAGGAGGAGGAGGAGGAGGAGGAGGAGGAGGAGGAGGAGGAGGAGGAGGAGGAGGAGGAGGAGGAGGAGGAGGAGGAGGAGGAGGAGGAGGAGGAGGAGGAGGAGGAGGAGGAGGAGGAGGAGGAGGAGGAGGAGGAGGAGGAGGAGGAGGAGGAGGAGGAGGAGGAGGAGGAGGAGGAGGTTACCAGGGCAGAGATCTCATTCGACGCGTACCTCCACTCACAGCTCTCCAGCCTCAAGCTCTCTGACAGAGTCGCCACAACCGCTAGCCCAAGCGCACTGGGCAGCACATTGAGAGGCGGGGAAGGTCCGGTGCCAGCAGCAGCTTCAGAGCCAGAAGAAGGAGGAGCAGGCGATGTGACGCCTAGCAGAGCTGTAGGAACTTTTCCCAGCGGTGGGGTAGGTGTGGCTGCCAGCACTGCTGTTGGTGAAAGCCGGGAAGGGCAGGCATGGGAGGAGGGGGACACGGTGGGTGGAGGCGAAAGGTGGAGAAGAGAGGGCGGAGCAGAGGGGCAGGGTGATGAGAGTACTGTTGTGCAAGGGCGCTGGGGCGCTGGAGGTGAGCGGTTAGAGGAGGAAGGCGGTGGGACGAAACCCGAGAGTGGCTGTAACAGAGGTGCCTTTAGCGAGCTGTCAGTAGGGAATGAGTGTGTGGGAGAAGGGAAACAAGGGCAAGGGCATCGACAAAGTAAAGGGGAGGCACACGAGGTGTCGTCGAAGGAGGTGTGGTCAGAGGATGCAGGTTCGAAAGGGGTGAGTGAGCTGGCGAGGGAAGAGACTTTTGAGTCTCAAGAAGGGAAGACGAACGAGGTGTGGTCAAAGGAGGTGTGCTCAGAGGATGCAGGTTCGGAAATAACAGATGAGCTGGAGAGGGGAGCGCCTGAGGTGGTGCCTCATGGGTTGGAGGCACTGCACAGACTAAGGGAGTCGTCTGGTGGTGGCAGCACTCTGCTGCAAGATTCTGGGGACTCTGCTGAGGGCATGGGCGTGGGTGTGGGCAACGCAGAGGACGTGGTGGATCTCACTGGGTGCAGCAGTGACGACGACTCTGTCAACTCTTATCACTCTGACGGCTCTTCTGACTCTGATACTCCTGGTGATGGTGAAGTGGACGATTCCGCCTGTGCTCACGAGGACGGGTCAGAGCTGGAGAGAGGAGTGAGAGGGGGATATGTGGAGCGAGGCAAGCACCAGAACAGGCTACAGGCGCAGAAGCAGATGCAGCAGCAGAGGCAACAGCAGAAGCATGGGAGGCAGAGTGTAGGAGCAAATCAGCCGAGCCAGCGAGTCCTGAGAAGCAGCATGCGTCGAAACACGCTAGCCTCTGGGGCTTTTGCCGCAGAGGTTACCACTGGCGCCGGTGGTGACGCTGGTCTAGGAAAGAGGGCCAACATGGTTGCTGCTGGCCATGTTCGCGCTGATCCTGCGTTCTCTCCTGCTCCTGCTCCTGCTCCTGCCCCCTCTCCTGCTCCTGCTCTCCCTCCTGCTCCTGCTCCCACTCCTGCTGCAGCTGCTGGTGATGCGCCCGTTGCTCCGCCAGGGCATCGAGATGCACGTGCCCGCCATAGCATGAACAGCCGCCGCACGCTGAGGAGCAGCTTGGGTGGATCAGGAGGAGGGGAAAGAAGGGGTGCTCCTGATGAGAGCAGCACGCGTGCAACACGAAGCACTGGCCGCACAAGGACCACGCCTGCCCGTCAAGGCCGTCAGGAGAAGCAGTCTTGTGGGAATGGAGCTGGACGTGCGAGGATGGGGCATGAGGAGGAGCGGGAGATCGGATCCAGGGATGGGGGTTTGGGCTGTGCTGCTGACGAGGTGCGGGAGATCGCATCCAATGATGAGGGTGTGAGCCGTGCTGCGGAGAAGGTGCGGGAGGTGTGTGGTGTGGTTGAGAGGGGTGACGAGAGGGCAGGGAGACGTGAGAGTGAAGGGCTAGTCGAGAGTGTTGCTGGTTTGAGTGGGAGAGTCTTGCATGGGGATGGTGTGGGAGAGATAGAGTGTGTTGGTGAGGAAACGGCAGGAGAGGAGGGGGATGAGGACGTGGTTGAAGTGGATGAGAAGGTGGGCACACGGAAGTCCACAGCACGTTCAAAAGCAGAAAGAGCAGGTGGAGCAGAGAGAACAGGAGGAGAAGAGGCAGGTGGGGTGCAGGCGAAGGCATTGACAAAGGCAAGGGGTAACGGGAGGGGCAAAGGGAGGGGCACGGCGGGGAGCAAGTCGAGTGGTGAAGGGGATGAGGGGCAGCAGGGGGCAGAAGTGGCAGCACAGGGTGGGCACGAGAGACGAGAGCGTGGTGTTGACACTGTGTCAGGCAGCAGCAGCATTGATGTTTCAGAAGGGAGGGGCATGGTGGGGAGCAAGTTCAGCGGTGCAGGGGATGAGGGGCAGCAGTGGGCAGAAGTGACAGCTGAGGCTCGGGATGAGGGACGAGAATGTGGCGCTGACACTCTCTCAGGTAGCAGCAGCATTAATGCACGCTACAGCAGAAGGAGCTGCAGCATTGGGGCTGGGAGCAGCGTTGACTGTGGAGCGAGCAAGGAGAGAGTTCCACGGGCAGACGAGCAGAGCGTGAGGGAGAAAGATGGTACCGGTGGCGAGGATGAGGGTCAAAGAGAGGAGGAGGGCGGTGTAGGGGCAGAGGTGGAGGAGGAGGAGGAGGTGGTGGAGGTGGAGGAGGAGGAGGATGGGGATGAGGTGGTGGAGGTGGAAGAGGAGGAGAAGGATGATGGGCTGCGTGCATTGCTTGCTGCCTGTCGCCAGCCATACATGTGCTCCATGGAGCAAGCCATCACGCAATTCTGGTATGTCACCTCGTCCCCACGCCAGCTTGCTGTAGAAGCATCTTTCCCTCTCTTCCAAACACGTCCGCCTTATCCTTACAGAAGTATGAAGCTATGTCTCATGTCCGTCCCCTCCCTCTTGACATCTCACCTTCAGCTCTTTTTGTCACATGCCAGCAATCAGAACACCCTTCGGAAGATAGAAGAGGGTTGTTGAGGCGCCTCAGAACTTGTTCCTTCCCCCTTGAAATCTTATTGTTGACTCTTTTTTGTCACGTGGCAGCGATCTGATGACCATCCGGAAGATGGGGGAGGGAAGCTTCGCGGAAGCGTTTGCAGCAGAGGGAGCGGAGGGAGGCGTGTGCCTCAAGATAGTGCCAGTTGGGGGGCGAGTGCTGGTCAACGATGAGCCGCAGAAGGTGAGAGTGGGTGCAGTGCGGTGAGAGATGATGCTGCTTGGTGCAAGTGGGTGCAGTGATGTTGCATGTTGAGGAGGGAAAACTAGAGTGCCTCAAGGTAGGGCCAGTGGGGAGTCGAGTGCTGGTGAACGATGAGCTGCAGAAGGTGAGTGTGCTCCTCTCTTGGTCACTGCTGCGTGGTGAGAGTGGATGAAGTGAGTTGAGAGGCGGTGCTGTGTGGTGAAACTGGGTGCAGTGCTGTTGCACGTTGAGGAGGGAAATTGAGATAGTGCTGGTGGGAGCCGAGTGCTGGTTAACCATGAGCCACAGAAGGTGAGTCTGATCTGCTAATAGGAGTGTATTTCAAAGTCAAGTAGGAGTGTGTCTCCTTTAACTGGAGTGTGTCAGAGTGTCAAAAGAAGGTGGGTCCAGTCCAGTGCTGGTGAACGCGTACAGAGCCAGTCAAGGTCGTCCCGGTGTGAGTCCATCCATAGCATTGTGTGGTGCGGTGAGACACAATGCTAGCCGATATACAAGGGATAGACCTGCATTTATCGCCTTGTGTCTCTGCTCCTCCCTCTGCTGTTCTGGCTTCTCCTCATGGTCCTTGTGACTCTTCTCCTCGTGGCCCTTGTGACTCTTCTCCTCGTGGCCCTTGTGACTCTTCTCCTCGTGGCCCTTGTGACTCTTCTCCTCGTGGCCCTTGCGACTCTTCTCCTCGTGGCCCTTGCGACTCTTCTCCTCGTGGCCCTTGCGACTCTTCTCCTCGTGGCCCTTGTGACTCTTCTCCTCGTGGCCCTTGTGACTCTTCTCCTCGTGGCCCTTGCGACTCTTCTCCTCGTGGCCCTTGCGACTCTTCTCCTCGTGGCCCTTGCGACTCTTCTCCTCGTGGCCCTTGCGACTCTTCTCCTCGTGGCCCTTGTGACTCTTCTCCTCGTGGCCCTTGCGACTCTTCTCCTCGTGGCCCTTGCGACTCTTCTCCTCGTGGCCCTTGCGACTCTTCTCCTCGTGGCCCTTGCGACTCTTCTCCTCGTGGCCCTTGTGACTCTTCTCCTCGTGGCCCTTGTGACTCTTCTTCTCGTGGCCCTTGTGACTCTTCTCCTCGTGGCCCTTGTGACTCTTCTCCTCGTGGCCCTTGTGACTCTTCTCCTCGTGGCCCTTGTGACTCTTCTCCTCGTGGCCCTTGCGACTCTTCTCCTCGTGGCCCTTGCGACTCTTCTCCTCGTGGCCCTTGCGACTCTTCTCCTCGTGGCCCTTGCGACTCTTCTCCTCGTGGCCCTTGTGACTCTTCTCCTCGTGGCCCTTGTGACTCTTCTTCTCGTGGCCCTTGTGACTCTTCTCCTCGTGGCCCTTGTGACTCTTCTCCTCGTGGCCCTTGTGACTCTTCTCCTCGTGGCCCTTGTGACTCTTCTCCTCGTGGCCCTTGTGACTCTTCTCCTCATGGCCCTTGCGACTCTTCTCCTCGTGGCCCTTGCGACTCTTCTCCTCGTGGCCCTTGCGACTCTTCTCCTCGTGGCCCTTGCGACTCTTCTCCTCGTGGCCCTTGTGACTCTTCTCCTCGTGGCCCTTGCGACTCTTCTCCTCGTGGCCCTTGTGACTCTTCTCCTCGTGGCCCTTGTGACTCTTCTCCTCGTGCCCCTCTAAACTCTTCTCCTCGTGGCCCTTGTGACTCTTCTCCTCGTGGCCCTTGTGACTCTTCTCCTCATGGCCCTTGCAACTCTTCTCCTCGTGGCCCTTGTGACTCTTCTCCTCGTGGCCCTTGGGACTCTTCTCCTCGTGGCCCTTGCGACTCTTCTCCTCGTGGCCCTTGCGACTCTTCTCCTCGTGGCCCTTGCGACTCTTCTCCTCGTGGCCCTTGTGACTTTTCTCCTCGTGGCCCTTGTGACTCTTCTCCTCGTGGCCCATGTGACTCTTCTCCTCGTGGCCCGTGCGACTCTTCTCCTCGTGGCCCTTGCGACTCTTCTCCTCGTGGCCCTTGTGACTCTTCTCCTCGTGGCCCTTGTGACTCTTCTCCTCGTGGCCCTTGCGACTCTTCTCCTCGTGGCCCTTGTGACTCTTCTCCTCGTGGCCCTTGTGACTCTTCTCCTCGTGGCCCTTGTGACTCTTCTCCTCGTGGCCCTTGCGACTCTTCTCCTCGTGGCCCTTGTGACTCTTCTCCTCGTGGCCCTTGTGACTCTTCTCCTCGTGGCCCTTGTGACTCTTCTCCTCATGGCCCTTGCGACTCTTCTCCTCGTGGCCCTTGCGACTCTTCTCCTCGTGGCCCTTACGACTCTTCTCCTCGTGGCCCTTGCGACTCTTCTCCTCGTGGCCCTTGTGACTCTTCTCCTCGTGGCCCTTGCGACTCTTCTCCTCGTGGCCCTTGTGACTCTTCTCCTCGTGGCCCTTGTGACTCTTCTCCTCGTGGCCCTTGTGACTCTTCTCCTCGTGGCCCTTGTGACTCTTCTCCTCGTGGCCCTTGTGACTCTTCTCCTCGTGGCCCTTGCGACTCTTCTCCTCGTGGCCCTTGCGACTCTTTTCCTCGTGGCCCTTGTGACTCTTCTCCTCGTGGCCCTTGTGACTCTTCTCCTCGTGGCCCTTGTGACTCTTCTCCTCGTGGCCCTTGTGACTCTTCTCCTCGTGGCCCTTGCGACTCTTCTCCTCGTGGCCCTTGCGACTCTTCTCCTCGTGGCCCTTGCGACTCTTCTCCTCGTGGCCCTTGCGACTCTTCTCCTCGTGGCCCTTGCGACTCTTCTCCTCGTGGCCCTTGCGACTCTTCTCCTCGTGGCCCTTGCGACTCTTCTCCTCGTGGCCCTTGCGACTCTTCTCCTCGTGGCCCTTGTGACTCTTCTCCTCGTGGCCCTTGTGACTCTTCTCCTCGTGGCCCTTGTGACTCTTCTCCTCGTGGCCCTTGTGACTCTTCTCCTCGTGGCCCTTGCGACTCTTCTCCTCGTGGCCCTTGTGACTCTTCTCCTCGTGGCCCTTGTGACTCTTCTCCTCCTGGCCCTTGTGACTCTTCTCCTCCTGGCCCTTGCGACTCTTCTCCTCGTGACCCTTGCGACTCTTCTCCTCGTGGCCCTTGCGACTCTTCTCCTCGTGGCCCGTGCGACTCTTCTCCTCGTGGCCCTTGCGACTCTTCTCCTCGTGGCCCTTGTGACTCTTCTCCTCGTGGCCCTTGTGACTCTTCTCCTCGTGGCCCTTGCGACTCTTCTCCTCGTGGCCCTTGTGACTCTTCTCCTCGTGGCCCTTGTGACTCTTCTCCTCGTGGCCCTTGTGACTCTTCTCCTCGTGGCCCTTGCGACTCTTCTCCTCGTGGCCCTTGTGACTCTTCTCCTCGTGGCCCTTGTGACTCTTCTCCTCGTGGCCCTTGTGACTCTTCTCCTCATGGCCCTTGCGACTCTTCTCCTCGTGGCCCTTGCGACTCTTCTCCTCGTGGCCCTTACGACTCTTCTCCTCGTGGCCCTTGCGACTCTTCTCCTCGTGGCCCTTGTGACTCTTCTCCTCGTGGCCCTTGCGACTCTTCTCCTCGTGGCCCTTGCGACTCTTCTCCTCGTGGCCCTTGCGACTCTTCTCCTCGTGGCCCTTGCGACTCTTCTCCTCGTGGCCCTTGTGACTCTTCTCCTCGTGGCCCTTGCGACTCTTCTCCTCGTGGCCCTTGTGACTCTTCTCCTCGTGGCCCTTGTGACTCTTCTCCTCGTGCCCCTCTAAACTCTTCTCCTCGTGGCCCTTGTGACTCTTCTCCTCGTGGCCTTTGTGACTCTTCTCCTCGTGGCCCTTGTGACTCTTCTCCTCGTGGCCCTTGTGACTCTTCTCCTCGTGGCCCTTGTGACTCTTCTCCTCGTGGCCCTTGGGACTCTTCTCCTCGTGGCCCTTGCGACTCTTCTCCTCGTGGCCCTTGCGACTCTTCTCCTCGTGGCCCTTGCGACTCTTCTCCTCGTGGCCCTTGTGACTCTTCTCCTCGTGGCCCTTGTGACTCTTCTCCTCGTGGCCCTTGTGACTCTTCTCCTCGTGGCCCTTGTGACTCTTCTCCTCGTGGCCCTTGGGACTCTTCTCCTCGTGGCCCTTGCGACTCTTCTCCTCGTGGCCCTTGCGACTCTTCTCCTCGTGGCCCTTGCGACTCTTCTCCTCGTGGCCCTTGTGACTTTTCTCCTCGTGGCCCTTGTGACTCTTCTCCTCGTGGCCCATGTGACTCTTCTCCTCGTGGCCCGTGCGACTCTTCTCCTCGTGGCCCTTGCGACTCTTCTCCTCGTGGCCCTTGTGACTCTTCTCCTCGTGGCCCTTGTGACTCTTCTCCTCGTGGCCCTTGTGACTCTTCTCCTCGTGGCCCTTGTGACTCTTCTCCTCGTGGCCCTTGGGACTCTTCTCCTCGTGGCCCTTGCGACTCTTCTCCTCGTGGCCCTTGCGACTCTTCTCCTCGTGGCCCTTGTGACTCTTCTCCTCGTGGCCCTTGTGACTCTTCTCCTCGTGGCCCTTGGGACTCTTCTCCTCGTGGCCCTTGCGACTCTTCTCCTCGTGGCCCTTGCGACTCTTCTCCTCGTGGCCCTTGTGACTCTTCTCCTCGTGGCCCTTGGGACTCTTCTCCTCGTGGCCCTTGCGACTCTTCTCCTCGTGGCCCTTGCGACTCTTCTCCTCGTGGCCCTTGCGACTCTTCTCCTCGTGGCCCTTGTGACTTTTCTCCTCGTGGCCCTTGGGACTCTTCTCCTCGTGGCCCTTGCGACTCTTCTCCTCGTGGCCCTTGCGACTCTTCTCCTCGTGGCCCTTGCGACTCTTCTCCTCGTGGCCCTTGCGACTCTTCTCCTCGTGGCCCTTGTGACTTTTCTCCTCGTGGCCCTTGTGACTCTTCTCCTCGTGGCCCTTGTGACTTTTCTCCTCGTGGCCCTTGGGACTCTTCTCCTCGTGGCCCTTGCGACTCTTCTCCTCGTGGCCCTTGCGACTCTTCTCCTCGTGGCCCTTGGGACTCTTCTCCTCGTGGCCCTTGCGACTCTTCTCCTCGTGGCCCTTGCGACTCTTCTCCTCGTGGCCCTTGCGACTCTTCTCCTCGTGGCCCTTGCGACTCTTCTCCTCGTGGCCCTTGTGACTTTTCTCCTCGTGGCCCTTGTGACTCTTCTCCTCGTGGCCCATGCGACTCTTCTCCTCGTGGCCCTTGCGACTCTTCTCCTCGTGGCCCTTGCGACTCTTCTCCTCGTGGCCCTTGTGACTTTTCTCCTCGTGGCCCTTGGGACTCTTCTCCTCGTGGCCCTTGCGACTCTTCTCCTCGTGGCCCTTGCGACTCTTCTCCTCGTGGCCCTTGCGACTCTTCTCCTCGTGGCCCTTGCGACTCTTCTCCTCGTGGCCCTTGTGACTTTTCTCCTCGTGGCCCTTGTGACTCTTCTCCTCGTGGCCCTTGTGACTTTTCTCCTCGTGGCCCTTGGGACTCTTCTCCTCGTGGCCCTTGCGACTCTTCTCCTCGTGGCCCTTGCGACTCTTCTCCTCGTGGCCCTTGGGACTCTTCTCCTCGTGGCCCTTGCGACTCTTCTCCTCGTGGCCCTTGCGACTCTTCTCCTCGTGGCCCTTGCGACTCTTCTCCTCGTGGCCCTTGTGACTCTTCTCCTCGTGGCCCTTGTGACTCTTCTCCTCGTGGCCCTTGCGACTCTTCTCCTCGTGGCCCTTGTGACTCTTCTCCTCGTGGCCCTTGTGACTCTTCTCCTCGTGGCCCTTGTGACTCTTCTCCTCGTGGCCCTTGGGACTCTTCTCCTCGTGGCCCTTGCGACTCTTCTCCTCGTGGCCCTTGCGACTCTTCTCCTCGTGGCCCTTGCGACTCTTCTCCTCGTGGCCCTTGTGACTCTTCTCCTCGTGGCCCTTGTGACTCTTCTCCTCGTGGCCCTTGTGACTCTTCTCCTCGTGGCCCTTGGGACTCTTCTCCTCGTGGCCCTTGGGACTCTTCTCCTCGTGGCCCTTGCGACTCTTCTCCTCGTGGCCCTTGCGACTCTTCTCCTCGTGGCCCTTGCGACTCTTCTCCTCGTGGCCCTTGTGACTCTTCTCCTCGTGGCCCTTGTGACTCTTCTCCTCGTGGCCCGTGCGACTCTTCTCCTCGTGGCCCGTGCGACTCTTCTCCTCGTGGCCCTTGCGACTCTTCTCCTCGTGGCCCTTGTGACTCTTCTCCTCGTGGCCCTTGTGACTCTTCTCCTCGTGGCCCTTGCGACTCTTCTCCTCGTGGCCCTTGTGACTCTTCTCCTCGTGGCCCTTGTGACTCTTCTCCTCGTGGCCCTTGTGACTCTTCTCCTCGTGGCCCTTGGGACTCTTCTCCTCGTGGCCCTTGGGACTCTTCTCCTCGTGGCCCTTGCGACTCTTCTCCTCGTGGCCCTTGCGACTCTTCTCCTCGTGGCCCTTGCGACTCTTCTCCTCGTGGCCCTTGTGACTCTTCTCCTCGTGGCCCTTGTGACTCTTCTCCTCGTGGCCCGTGCGACTCTTCTCCTCGTGGCCCGTGCGACTCTTCTCCTCGTGGCCCTTGCGACTCTTCTCCTCGTGGCCCTTGTGACTCTTCTCCTCGTGGCCCTTGTGACTCTTCTCCTCGTGGCCCTTGTGACTCTTCTCCTCGTGGCCCTTGTGACTCTTCTCCTCGTGGCCCTTGGGACTCTTCTCCTCGTGGCCCTTGCGACTCTTCTCCTCGTGGCCCTTGCGACTCTTCTCCTCGTGGCCCTTGTGACTCTTCTCCTCGTGGCCCTTGTGACTCTTCTCCTCGTGGCCCTTGGGACTCTTCTCCTCGTGGCCCTTGCGACTCTTCTCCTCGTGGCCCTTGCGACTCTTCTCCTCGTGGCCCTTGTGACTCTTCTCCTCGTGGCCCTTGGGACTCTTCTCCTCGTGGCCCTTGCGACTCTTCTCCTCGTGGCCCTTGCGACTCTTCTCCTCGTGGCCCTTGCGACTCTTCTCCTCGTGGCCCTTGTGACTTTTCTCCTCGTGGCCCTTGGGACTCTTCTCCTCGTGGCCCTTGCGACTCTTCTCCTCGTGGCCCTTGCGACTCTTCTCCTCGTGGCCCTTGCGACTCTTCTCCTCGTGGCCCTTGTGACTCTTCTCCTCGTGGCCCTTGGGACTCTTCTCCTCGTGGCCCTTGTGACTTTTCTCCTCGTGGCCCTTGTGACTCTTCTCCTCGTGGCCCTTGTGACTTTTCTCCTCGTGGCCCTTGGGACTCTTCTCCTCGTGGCCCTTGCGACTCTTCTCCTCGTGGCCCTTGCGACTCTTCTCCTCGTGGCCCTTGGGACTCTTCTCCTCGTGGCCCTTGCGACTCTTCTCCTCGTGGCCCTTGCGACTCTTCTCCTCGTGGCCCTTGCGACTCTTCTCCTCGTGGCCCTTGTGACTTTTCTCCTCGTGGCCCTTGGGACTCTTCTCCTCGTGGCCCTTGCGACTCTTCTCCTCGTGGCCCTTGCGACTCTTCTCCTCGTGGCCCTTGCGACTCTTCTCCTCGTGGCCCTTGCGACTCTTCTCCTCGTGGCCCTTGTGACTTTTCTCCTCGTGGCCCTTGTGACTCTTCTCCTCGTGGCCCATGCGACTCTTCTCCTCGTGGCCCTTGCGACTCTTCTCCTCGTGGCCCTTGCGACTCTTCTCCTCGTGGCCCTTGTGACTCTTCTCCTCGTGGCCCTTGTGACTCTTCTCCTCGTGGCCCTTGCGACTCTTCTCCTCGTGGCCCTTGCGACTCTTCTCCTCGTGGCCCTTGCGACTCTTCTCCTCGTGGCCCTTGCGACTCTTCTCCTCGTGGCCCTTGTGACTTTTCTCCTCGTGGCCCTTGTGACTCTTCTCCTCGTGGCCCTTGTGACTCTTCTCCTCATGGTCCTTGCGACTCTTCTCCTCCTCACCCGCTCGCTGGCACTGTGGATTGAGATGTCTCATGATCCTGATTCTTCTTCCCTTCTCATGCACTGAATTGTTCCCATCTCTATGCCAAATGTGTTGTTGTGGTGTGTCATCGGTTGGTGGTGACGGATGCATGCATTTGCGCTATGGCATGGGCCATGGCACGGCATGGCATGGCTGGGTATGGGCCATGTGTATGGTATGGGCATGTGTATGGTATGGGCATGGGTATGGGCATGGATATGGCATGGATCGGGCATGGGATGGGCATGGGCATGGGCATGGACATGCACGAAACAGAGCATAGGAGAGATGCTGGCGGAAGTGGAGGTGCAGATGGCTCTGCAGCGGCTGAGGCATGGCCACGGGCACGGACACAAACAGGGGCATCAACGTGGAATGGGGCATGAGGAGGATGGGCATGAGAATGACCTGATGCACTCAACGGCCTCCTTTATTGACTGTAAAGGGTACGTGTGTGTGACTGTAACGAGTGTTTGCGTCGCTCTTGGCCCTGGCAGTTGACTCAAAAGCAACCGCCAGCATGCATACAGCCTCATGCCACAGAGCATCTGTTTTAGCTCTTGGCCAGAAGCAAAATTACGGTGCATGTGCACACGTGAAAAAAGAAGAGTTTTGACGTGCACAGTGCTGCTTTCCATGTCCGCACGTCTCAAAACTCTTCTTTTTTCACAGAGCATCTGTTTTAGCTCTTGACCAGAAGCAAAATCACGGTGCATGTGCGCAGTGGGGTGCACCCACCGCTTGAGTCGATAAAAGAAGGAGACGAGAGTGTGTCCTTGACACACCATGTCTTCTGAGAATTCTAAAACGCATACGAAAATGAGGCCTTGGCACACCCTTCCCACCTTCTTGCCATTCTCTCCTACCACGTGTCCTCCCCTCCCCTATCCCCCATCACCTGTGTGGTTGAACAAGCAGGGTGCGTGTGTGCAGGGGGGTGTACTCGCCTGTGCTCATGCGGGCATGGGAGGAGTGGGCGGATGAGAACGAGTCACTCAACGACCATCCAGGCATCTTCCCTTCTGACCAGGTGATCGGCATATGGCACTCCATGCTTCTTCTTCACTTCCCCTGTGACCAGTAGATCGTGGCAATTCGTTCTCTCTTAGCTTCTCAGTAATCAGGTTGTTGTGGCACTTTACGTTTCTGAGTTTTTCAATCGACCCAAACTCCTTCCTGTGTGATCAGGTATGTCATGGCGCTTCATTCATGCTTTTCAGTTTGAATGAAGCTCGTTTCGTAACTTTTAACAATTCTCAAAAATCATGGCGCTTCATTCACGCTTTTGAGGTTGAATGAAGCTCGTTTCATGGCACGCATCATGGTCGTCTTCCTTTCCTTCCTCTCTCCCGCCCGACCCTTGGACTGGCAAACCTTGTCCGCTCCTTGAGCTGGTTGGTTGGTTCCACACCGCTTACCATAGCTGACTAACATAAGCTCGTTTCGTCCTGAGCAGGCATACGTTGTCTTTATTCTGGAGATGGGCGGCAGCGACTTGGAAAAGGCTCCAGTGCGTTCCTTTGATGAGGCACGCAGCATCCTGCTGCAGGTGAGACGGTGGAATGGTACTGCTCTAAATCAAGCTATACTGCTCGACAGCGTAGTGTAATTCCAGTGGCATCAGCTGCAAGTAAGGCTCTCTCAAGTGCGCTCCTTAGATGAAGCGCGCAGGTGAGGCGGATGGGGCAGGTGAGACTAGTATTGCTGATTGCTGCTGCAGGGACAACGAGTGGAGCAGGAGCAAAGGACGGGGCATGTGAGCATGTTTCGACTGAATGTTGCCCGTAATGTTTCTCCATTCCTGTCATCCCTCCCCGTCTATGTGTATCTAACGCCCCACCTCATTGGATCCCTTTCCACCGCAGTCTGCTGCACTGTCCCTCAATTTGCACTAATGCCCCACTTCACCTGCCACCGCACTCTGCCCCTCTGTACCGCGTCAACCCTACCACAGGTGGCAGCAGGGCTGGCAGTGGCGGAGGCAGCGTGTCAGTTTGAGCACCGCGACCTGCACTGGTACGCTGTGGTGTGATGTGGTGCTGTGCGGTGTGGCTGTGGTAAGCAGTGGTGTGGTTGTGGTACGCAGTGGTGTGGCTGTGGTACGCAGTGGTGTGGCTGTGGTACGCAGTGGTGTGGCTGTGGTACGCAGCGGTGTGGCTGTGGTAAGCAGTGGTGTGGCTGTGGTACTGGTATGCTGTGGCGGTGGCGGAGGCAGCGTGTGAGTTCGAGCGCTGCGCCCTGCACTGGTGGTACGTTCTGTGTGGCAGTGGCACGCTGCGGCATTGCCAATGAGTAGCGGAAATGGTATGCTGTGCAGAGTGGTCGTGCGGGTTTGTCAAATTCAACGCGTTGGTATGTGGCATTGACCATATTCATTCAACTCCCTTTCTCATGCTCCCGCTGCCCCAACCCCATCCACGCAGGGGCAACATCCTCATGCATCGCACAGGCACAGTGTGATAAGTCGAGTTTTGAGTCAACTCAAAACTCGACTTATCTCCACGCAGGGGCAACATCCCCATTCATCGCACAGGCACAGGCGCCTCAGAGGGCGGGCAAGGACTGGAGTTTTGAGAATTCTCATTCATCGCACAGGCACAGGGGCCTCAGAGGGCGGGCAAGGACTGGAGTTTTGAGAATTCTCATTCATCGCACAGGCACAGGGGCCTCAGAGGGCGGGCAAGGACTGGAGTACCACTCACAGGCGCGAGCAGGCAAAGGCCCTGCACGGTTGCAATGCACTATCCGCTCAGCTCCCCTCATCGCTATCCCCTCCCATTCTCCAAAAGCCTACCCTTCCACCCACCCACCCAGGGGCAATGTCCTCATTCATTGCACACAGACAAGCGGGCCCCAGAGGGCAGGCAAGGGCAGGAATACCAGTCACAGGCGCGAGGGGGCAAAGGCCCTGCTTGACTGTACTGCATTATCGGCTCAGTGCTCATCTCTATCTCCCTCCCATGCTCCAAAACCCTAACCACCCACCGATCCACCCACCACGCAGGGGCAATGTTCTCATTCATCGCACACAGGCGAGTGGGCCACAAAGGGCAGGCAAGGGCAGGAGTGCCGCTCACAGGAGCGAGCAGGCAAAGGCTCTGAGTGACTGCACTGCGAGCATGAACAGCACTGGGAACAGTAGTGCTTCCAGCAACGTAAGCAGTAACAACAGTGGTAGCCGCAAGGGAGAGGGCGAGAGCGGGCAGTGGTTCAGGCTGAACGGGCAGCAGCGGAGCTTCCATGACAAGGGCGTTCGTGTGGCCATCATTGACTTCTCCCTCTCTCGTCTCCAGTCAGGTGCCATTCTCTCACAGCCTTATCAGACTTGCTTCTCTTCTCTGGTTCAACTGCATCTGCATGCATGCTCTTGAGTTCCTTTCCTCAGAATAATTGCTTAAAAAAAAAAAAAAAACACACACACACACACACACACCTAATCGCCCAAATGAGATTTCCTGGTTTGCCTGGAACCAAACTGGTGTCCTCGTGCGGCAGGTGCTCGAGTGCATTTCAGCGACCTCTCCCAAGAGCCATCCATTTTCCAGGGCGATAAGGGCCACCCCCAGGTGAGTGCTGCTCCAGGTGGGTGCTGCCCCAGGTGAGTGCCGCCCAGGTGGGTGCTGCCCCAGGTGAGTGCCGCACAGGTGAGTGCCGCCCAGGTGAGTGCCGCCCAGGTGAGTGCCGCCCAGGTGAGTGCTGCCCCAAGTAAGTGCCGCCCAGGTGAGTGCTGCCCCAAGTAAGTGCCGCCCAGGTGAGTACCGCCCAGCAGTGCCGCCTCAGCCCTCAGGTGCAGTGCTGCCTTAGGTGAGTGCCGCCCCAGGTGCAGTGCCAGCCTCCAGCCACAGCAGGTTCTACTTTGAGGCTTTATGAATGCACAGGGCCATTTGGCTCGTTTCTTTGTGTCCCCGCCTCTTTTTCCCTTTGTAACCAAGGTGCACAGTGCTGCTTTCCATGTCCGCCTGTAGTGCTTCCCTAAATCAACAATGTTGCTCCCAACTACTGAATCATGCGGTGGTGTGCGGTGCTGTGTGGTGGTGCGCGGTGCTGTGTGGTGGTTCGTTCATAACTGCAGTTTGACACGTACAGAGAGATGAAGAACAAGACCAAAGGACGCTGGGATAGATGGTAGGTAGTCGTTTCGAGGCGCCTCAAAAGAACCAGGTTTGGTAAACAGCATGCATTGGCCCCTACAAGCTGCATGCCTTGCTTCCATAAATCACCCCATCATGTTGTTAACACCCCTGTGCTTTCATCCCTCACCTCTCCTTGCAAACATGCACATCCGCGTAAGTTGAGTCGATTTTTGAGTCGACTCAAAAATCGACTCCTTGCAAACATGCACATCCGCTTTCTCAAACCTACTCCTTCCTCACCGTCACTCGCACCCGCTGCCACTCAAAGCCAAGCCACCATGCCTCCCCTCATCCTCCTTCTCATCGCTCTCGCCCTGCCTCTCTGTGTCGTCTCTTTTCCCTCTCCCAGGTGTCCTCAGACCAACAGCCTCTGGCTCAAATACTTAGCAGAGATGCTGCAGACGGGCAAGAAGATTGTGAGTTGTGTTGTGTGCAACTAAGCAATAGTGGGGATGTGTCGTAGTGATGTGTATTTGGAATTGAACGTGGAAAGAAGGGGTTATTGCGGGGAAATTAGTATACGGTTCTGGATGACGGCGAGTCTTTATTGGTGAACAACAGCGAAAACCGGAAGATTTATGGGAACGGATCCCTTGCTTACCTATTCCCCTCCTTCATTCCTGTTTTTGTACCGGTAGCAAGCTCCATGCGCCTAACCTATTTTCTGCAATTTCGTTTCAGCGCTTCAAGGCCAGCGAGAAGAGGGCCATCATCCAGTTCAAGGAGCGCATGGCTGCATGCCGTTCTGCAAAAGCTGCGCTTGATGATGAGCTCTTCAACAACCTTTGGCGCTCCTAGAGTTATGGGGAAGAATAAAATCATCTGAAGTGAAAGGTTGGAAGAAACGTGAATGAATTGGGCAAGTATGGACTTTGAATT